TGATGCACCAGCTCCGCATCATCCTGCACTTACGCCACGTGCCTGAGTACGGTTATCCAGCCAGTTATGCACCCACCTTATAGTAGCCCCATCTAAATTGTATTTGCCTAGTTTATCAATAAGAATATAAAAAAAGCCTCATCCACCTCTTCCACCTGGTTAGGTGGCCTGTAGTAGACTCCTAGCATGACATCTCCCTTGTTTTTTACCCCTTTTAGCCTAACCCAGAGACTCTCAACACTTCCGTCTCCTATGTCCATCTCTACCTCAGTCCAAGTGTGTACATTTTTAATATATAAGGCAACATCTCCTCCCTTTTCCCCCTGTTATATAAATTCGGATTAATCCCGTAGTGTAGACATACCCTTGGTAACAGCAGTCCTTCTGTCCGCACTGCCTCGGTGGCCAACCACAACCCTGTAGTCTTATCTCAGGGGCCAGTTGTGGTCTGTCTTGGCCCCTCTTCCCAAAGGCCAGGTGCAGTACAAAGGGGGGGACCCAGACCCGCCCACTACTCTGGGCCCTGACCCAGGGACCCTCTAACGGCAGCCTCCCTCTGCCCTTCTTCCTTCCCCTCTCACCTGCTTAGTTTCCCTGGGCCACTTCCCCTTTGGCCCTATGCACCTTCCTGACCCTTTGCAGCAGATAAGGGGCTGGAGCACCTGTCTGCTCCCCCAAGCCTGCCCAGCACTGCTCTGTCTAAGGTGATGCTCCTTTCATAGGAGCCAGTCCTTCTCCCTGGCCAGCCAGGGAGTGACTGACATCTCCCTAGCTGGGCAGCCTTTATATAGGACCTAGCCCAGTCCTGATTGGCTGCCTCTCCCCCTGCTCTGATTGGCTCTCCCCAGGCCTTCTCTGATTGGCTGCGGGTCTGCACAGCCTCTCTGGCCTGGTTCAACCCTTTTTCTCTGGGGGTGGGGCACCGCCCCACTACACACACACCCCCGGACTTTTCTTAGGTCTATGTGCTCCAGTTTTGCCCTCTCCCCGCCCTGACTTTGCAGGATATAATATAATCACATGTAAGATGATTGAATTTCCCCCGCTATATAATCAATCATAAAGTTTTCTTCCCAAACATATAGAAGAAGTGCAGTTTTTCAAACATTGTTCTTTTCTGATCTAGCCCTACAGAACGCAGTTGGTTGCAATGTGATGTAATCATGCAGCTCTCAACCCTTCAGCATGCCAGTGGGCATTCATTACTCATCTATTGCCCCCTCTCCCCCACGAGTTTTTCTTAAATGACATCCCAGTGGTGTCACTTGTCATAGCGCATTGATCTCAAGCCAACAGAGCTATAACAATTGACAGCAGCTGAGGATCTAAGTATTTTTCTTGGAACCTTCTTGACTCTTTATCACTTAATTATGTAGATAACATTAGCTGAAAGCCCGGGCTGTAATTTACTGGCTGAGAACTTAAAAAATTGGACAGTAACAGATTGCGAATCCCAGTGATGAAATCAAGCTGGGGATATTCTGACCAAGAACAGCTCTCGGCCATGCTTGTAGCCACTTCCATCACTTCACACTGGCTCAACAGGCTTCCGAGTGACACAATCCTGGAAGCTTATTAAATATATGGTTTGCAAATAAACACGGCAAGCCCGCTCTGCTGCAGTTTATGGGTTTGCAGTGTATAGGAATGGGATAACATCCCTTTAAATAGTTTGGAAGTCATCTAGTGAGCCTCAATGTCTTCTTTGGGAGAAACCACCAGAACTCAACAGACCATATATATATACATAGCTAGGCCTTATGCATTAGTAAACATAGTTATCTGGAACTCAGCTTTGCCTGTACTGATTCCTGCTATTCTTAGTGTTATGCAGAGAGCAAAGACACTGCTGCAGTCATGTTCTTCATTGCTCATAAGTATTTGGAGGCCACCATTTTATTCAGGAAAGCAGCTGCAAGTCCTGATAGCTTCAGAGATTTTAGCCCAAAATAGAATTCATTCCTGAGATAAGTTATTGCTCTCTGTTACTGGTTATTCTCTTGCTTCAAAGGTTTTAACCATCCAGTCAAGGAGTAGCAGGTTTTGGCCAAAACCTTTTACCCATCCCTACTCACACTAGTAATTCCACCAACTCTACCTGGTTCTTTCTTATATGTGGGTGTCTGAGACTTCTCTGCCCTTTTTCCTGCTGTCGCTGTAGGGCACCACCTCTCCCCAGTGGGAGAAAGATGCAATGTCTCCTGCACACTTTCTGAGTTTCTTGGAGGTGCTTGATCCCTGCTCTGCCCCAGGCTCTGCCCCACACACAACCCCTTCCCCAAGCCCCCACCCTGCCTCTTCCTGCACGTGCCTCTCCCTCACGCCTTCCCCTCCCCCCCAGCACCTCCTGCATGCTGCTGAACAGCTGATCCTTGGTGGGCAGGAGGCGCTGGGGAGGGGGAGGAGCTGATCTGAGGGGCCCGCTGGTGACGGCTGAGCACCCACTATTTTTTTCCCATGGGTGCTCCAGCCCCAGAGCACCCACGGAGTCAATGTCTATGCTCATGTAGTTTAGAGGAATCCAAGAAAGGAATCTCATCCCCAGCCTCCTTCAGCCTAATCATACCCAAATTTGAGGCCTCATTGGCTAGTCCCCGCATCCCCCATGCTCCCGGGATTACAGAGCCAAACAGCATAAAACTTTTGAAATGCAATGAGGGCTATTCTCGGATTCTGTTGTGATACACGCAGTACAAACTCCTAGAGCAATTGGGTAGAAACAGTCATGATGCCACCTATTGTTCTGACTGACATTCGGATGCTCCTTTCAGGAGCCTCGATTCTGTCTGATTGAGGAAAGCACTCAGAATTCTACTTTAGAATTCTGGGGTCATCTTTCCTTATGGTAAACCATCCTTTGGCATTCAGGCATTGGGGTGTTACGTTGTGACTGGATGGAGGGCTGGCTGGTGGCTCAGGGCTGTGAGTGAACAGCCCGTAAGGGCCTAGGAAGGAGCAGGCTTGTGAGTCCTTCTACATTCAGAACAGTTTGTGGAATTTAATTATTTTTAATTTTATCCTCCACCAAGCATGAAACGCCGCTGACTTTCAGATCCCAACATGTCAGGCAACCAGCCCGCTGGCTGCATGCAGCTACGAGACATGGAATGCTACAAGGGAACCACGGATACCCAAGCTACTGCATAATCAACTGGACTGGCAGGAACAGGGCAGAAATTACTTTAGAGTCCTCCATGATTCAACTGAGGAGCGGGGATCCCAGCAGGGCGGGCGACTGGAGCTGATGGGCTAACACTCCATGTTTTCACTCAGCAGTGAGAGATTTCAGGAGACTGTAGCTGCATGCCCTCACAGCATAGACCACCACCAGAGGCTCGGCTTCTGTTTTCCTCCAGGCCTTCAGCTGATCCACCCAGCCTCCAACACCTTCCAGGCTGAGGTGAAGCTGCCCCTTAGCTAGGTCACATCAATTTTCCACCGCTTTCAGGGTAACCAAAGTCCAAACTGAACACAAAGAAACAAAATCTCTTCCCTTCCCACAGGGAGCCTACAATAGGCAGCAGTCTCCCCCTCTTCCTGGCCTCCACCAGCCTTCTCTCTCTCAGTGAGCACTCCAGATCTCCTCTCCTACCCAACCAGGCAGCAACAGAGCTGGGTTCTCCCTTTTTAGCTCTTTCCTCAAAGCCTGACACCTGCTCAGATATCAGAGGGCAGGGCTGACTGGGCTCCCATTAATCCTTTCCTAACTCCTGTGGGGTCTGTAAACCTCATCTCAGAGACGAACAAACCAACCAAACCATGAGCAAGGTGAAACTGGATTGTTTGTTTATTTTTTGAAGAAGGGGGTGTTCTACACGTTAAGAAACTATCCTGCGGGGAATGGCAGCACACCTCAATCAGCCGCAAAGCCATTCCTTTGGAGAAATAACACATGTCATGATCCGTGCCTGCAGCTTCGCTGATAGACCCACCAATTAAAGCAGGAGGAGATGCCCCCGGTAGACTTCTTGTGGAAGATCAAATACCAGGGCTCTGTAATCGAGCAGAGAAAGGCATAACGAGAACCGATGGCTGTAAGCTGAAGCCAGACAAATTAAATTAGAAATTAGGCACAAATTTCTAATGGTGCACACGATTAACAGACTACCAAGGGAAGTGATGGATTCTCCATTTCTTGGTAGCTTCAGATCAAGACTGATGCCTTTGTGGAAGAGGCTTCAGCTGAATACAAGTTATCAGGCTCTGTGCAGGGGTAACTGAGTGACATGCGCTGACCTGTGTTACACAGAAGGTCAGAGTAGATGATTTAACGGTGCCTTCTGGCCTTAGAATCTATGGCTCCATGAATCAGAGAGTTCCAGGTTTCAGGGAGATGCCTTCACATAACAATTACACATAATGGATGAAGCTGGGTTCAGAGCTTGGTTGAGGGAATCCATAACCTGTGCCAGGCTCTGCGCCTCTCTCTAGCCCACTTCCTGTTAGCTAGTTGCAGGGCCCATCAGATGGTGCTATGCCATCCTCTCCCCATCCAGGATTTTGCAGGACAGGCCCTTGGCTTGCAAGACATTAACAGATTTTGGGGGGCGCTTGCACCATGGCGCAATGGTGCGGTAGTCCAGCAGGGGGCATGTGAGCAGCAACAACACACAACGGCAGTTAGCAGGGGCTTTTCCACAAGGGGGGATGATGGAGGGAAGGCAGAGAGGGTGAAACAGAAACACCTCTCGCTGAGGGACACAGGGTAGCTGCTTGCTGAGGGGGGCTGTCGGTCTCTCCACCAGGGGACACTCACGCCGCAGGTCCCTCTGACACCACAGGCTCGGGCTCCACGGCGGCCTCGTGGGAAGCGGGCGGATTCGTCAGGGCGGCGACCGGCTGGGAGCGAAACAAAAAGTCATGGAGTGAGCATGATGGCTCAGGGGGGTAGCCCTGGCCGATCACCCCCCAGGCACGGGCAGCTGCTCCCTGGCCTGTCTGTTCATTGCTTTACTATCTCCCTGCCCTTATCTAGGCACAGACGTAAACACTTCATAGACACCCCGTGGAGCATCTGCTCCCATCTGCCTCTCAGTCTTACCCCTTTGCTCCCCTTTCTTCTCTACTCAGCCACCCTCTGCCTGTCTCCCACGCTCTTGCCATCTCTGCTAATCCTCCGAGGGTCCAACCTTAGTTTCCTTCCATTCCTTTCCCCCCAGCTCTCTGTATTAACCCCACTCATCCCAACATCTCCCAGTAGCAGTGGGGTAGTTACCACATCATCAGCAGAGTTCTGACGACACACCGCTTTGCATCCGAAGGCTGCCAGGGCAATGGAAACGAAGAACCCCAGTGAGGTTAAGATCAGGATGATGGCCCGCATGCCCGTGCAATAGTGCTGGGAAACAGAGCAGGAGATGGGGAATCACAGACAGGCCCCTGGACTCAGCACGGATCAGAGGAACTAACGACCGGACAGCCCTGTTTGTTCCTGTTGTCCATCCCTTGGTGGGAATGGGAAGGAGTGTTCCCTGCAGTCTATTCTTACGTCCTGTCCAGTTCCACTGAGTCAAGCTCCAGGAAGCCATCAACAGGAGGAGGAATTCCAGGAATTAATGAATCCCCCACCTACCCCAGGAGACAGTTCCCGGGGGGACAGAGAAATGAAGCCCAGGCCTGAGTTCCTCAGGAGATATATCTCCAACTCCCATCCCTGCTCCCCCCTACCCCGATCTCAGCCAGCTGGCTGCCCCAACATTGCTCTTCTATAGCTCTCCATGGAGAAGGCACCCACCGAGATCTGGTACAGCCGCCTGCAGTGCAACCTGTTGCTGGAAGGACACTGGATGTACCGGTTACGGGGATCATACACCAAGTCCACAAGGTAGAATAAGTTGATCATGCCCACCACCGCTGTGCAGATGATGTAAATGACCAGGCAGGCTTTCACCTGGAAGATGAAGGGATAAGGTTGTCGCTGCTAGAAGCACCAGGATGCTAAAGAGTACGAATGGGAGACTGCCAATGCTCCTGAACAGATAACGGCTGTAGCCCTAAACTCCATCTTGCTCCCCTAGAGTCCTTCCAGTGTACAGAGGGGAGCTGCCCCATCAAGAGATCACCTCCTAGCAGAGCCCCTCTCTGGATCCATCTCACACTAACATATGGGCTCGGCCTCCTGTCCTGACTTGCCCTTCCCTCCCAACTAGCTCTGCCTTGCCTCTCCTTAGGACTGAACCAGGATCACCCCTTTTTTCCCCAGGGCTGCCCCATCCTGGTTCTGTCCCCTCGATCTGCCTATGGCTCCAGCTCCCCTTCGTGCAGCTGGGCCTTGGGTACCACAGCTGCCCTTCAGAGCACCAGTACCAATGGGGTTCACCTCAGCCACTGATCCAGGCCCATCCCTCACCAATGGCTTCCTCCTCTTCTCCCCACCTCGCCCTCTGACGGAATTCCCCAGTGCAAGGCAGAGATACCTCGGGCCTCACAGCCCCAACTGGCCCAGAGGGTACAGTCCCTCTTAGGAGGGTCACTTGTCTGGGGAGAGGAATGAGGAGGGATGTGACTGAGCCCTGATGCAGCCCTGGGCCAGGCTTTATCAAGAGATTACTCACCAGGGCCAGGCTGTGTGTTGTGTCTGCAGCCAGAGTGATGATTCCAGCCAAGAGCAACTGGAGAGGAAGAGAGAATGAGAGAAAGTAATCAGGGGCATCAGCAGAGCTGGGGTGGGGAGAGATAGCAGGAGGCTGCAGGTTAGGGTTAAGGGGTATTGGCAGAACTGGGGGGGGGACCTGAGGGTGGGATAGCAAGAAGGCTGTGGGTTGGGATTGGGGGACATCAGTCGGGCTAGGGGTAGGGAGGGAACCCAGTGGTGAGATAGCAGGGGGCTGGGGGTCGGAACTAAGAGGCACCGGCAGAGCTGGGCATGGAGGCTCAGGAAATGGGTCAGTCACTCACCAGCACTGCTGAGTAAAAGTGGACATGCAGCTCATCCCTATAGACGCAGGGGGAAATGGCCAAGAGGACACCAAAGGCCACCTGCAGCAGCCCCACCAACAGCAAGAGGGCCTGCAAACGGGAAACAAACCCGCCATCAGCATGCAGCTCTGGGCAGGGGCAGGACAGCCAGCAGGGGGCAGAGATAGGCGCCGTGTCCAGTCACCGGCTAACAGGCACCAGGGCCTGTCTGACAAGAGGATCCCAAAGACCCCAGGTGCTGTGCAGGGCCTGCAGAGGCGGTGAGGCCGGAGCAACAAGGGGATGAGCTGTGAGATGGGGCAACAGCTTTGTGTGTGTGTGTGTGTGCACGCATGCAAGAGAGAGAGAGAGAGAGACTCTCCAGCCTTCGGCCACCCTCCACGCATGCTGCTCACCCCTAAGACTCTGGGCTGCCCCTGGAGGAACCGCTGCATCAGGGGTCCTGCTTCCGACATGGCAGAACCGAGCGTCTTGATATAGAACAAACTTCTCACAGGCTCTGGAGTGGAAAAGACAGCCCTGTGGGTGCAAGAGGGACTGGGTCATGGGGTGCACTGGAATGCTAAACTGCATTATACCGTTCAGCTGCTAAGTGCCGCCGTGTGGAATATACCTTAGTTAAGCTCACAACAGCCATTCCTGGCAGTGAACTAAAGGATCTTATAGCAAACACATGTCTCTAGAAGAAAGGCTCTGCTGCCAGTCCATTATGTCGTACAAGAGCCTGACTTGCTAATAGCAACTCAGCAGCCTAACATGCACAAAATGTACACAGGGCATGTAATGCTAGCAGGGACTTTGGAATAACCAGTTACCCATAGTGTTGTATGGGGGAAATCATTATGTAATGAGCCTCATCACCTTGTACTTAGAGCCAAGCCAGCAATGCTTATCTGTACATTTCTCAGCCACAAACTCAGGAAAGTGTTTACTGTTACAGTAACTCCCCACTTAACGTCCTCTTGCTTAATGTTGTTTCGATCTTACGTCTCTGCTCAATTACAGAACATGCTCCATTTAAAATTGTGCAGTGCTTCGCTATAATGTCGTTTGGCTGCCTGCTTTGTCCACAGCTGGCAGCCCACCTATCAGCTCCCCTACGCCCCCACCCCACAGCACCTCCCGCCCACCGGCAGACCCCACAGATCAGCGCCTTCCCCCTCCACCCCCCTCCTCCTGCCCACGGCAATCAGCTGGCTTGCGGCGTTCAGGAGGGAGGGGGGAGGAGCGAGGACATGGTGTTCAGGCTCCCCCTCCCTCCCCTGCCTCCTGAACACCGCAAGCCAGCTGATTGCCACAGGCAGGAGGGAGGGGGAGGAGGGAGGACTCGACGCACAGGCTCCCCCTCCCTCTCCTGCCTCCCGAACGCCGCAAACCAGTTGATTGCCGCAGGCAGGAGGCAGGGGAGGGAGGGGGGAGCCTGCGCGCTGAGTTCTCGCTCCTCCCCTCTCCCTCCTGCCCCCTGAATGTCGCAAGCCAGTTGATTGCCGCGGGCAGGAGGTGCGCCGCGTCCTCCCTCCTGCCCATGGCAATCAGCTGGCTTGCGGTGTTCAGGAGACAGGGGAGGGAGGGGGAGCCTGCGCGCCATGTCCTCGCTCCTTCCCCCTCCCTCCTGAACTCTGCAATCTAGCTGATTGCTGTGGGCAGGAGGCAGGGGAGGAAGGGGGAGGAGCAAGGACGCGGCGTGTGGAGTAAAGGGGGGGAGAAGAGGCGGATTAAGGGTGGGGGCTTGGGGGAAGGGGTGGAGTGGACGGGCCGAGGGTTGAGCCCCCTGCCTCTGGTGCTTGCAGAGTAGGGGAAGCTGCTGCTGCGCAACATGATTCTCCTAGCCTAAAGCAGCTTCAGCCTCCTTGCCTCCCTCATTGTCTTCAGCGCCAGTGCCTGTGTGGGGTAAGGCAGGGGCACCTCCCAACTATAGTACTGTACTGTATGGCAAAAAAAAAATTTCCCTGGAACCTAGCCCCCCCATTTACATTCATTCTTATGGGGAAATTGGATTCGCTTAACATCATTTCATTTAAAGTTGCATTTTTCAGGAACATAACTACAATGTTAAGTGAGGAGTTACTGTACTTAAAAAGTCTCTGGTATCTTTTCTGGTGGTATAATAGCAAGTTGGCAACAGCTATTACACGGTGTCAGAACAAAACTGAAAGTGAGACTAGACGAGAATGAATCTGGAAAACAATGGACCAATTAAAGCTTCCAGGAAAGTTTTCATTTGAAGGAAATGCAGCAGAAAACTGGGGAAAATGGAAGCAAAGACGGCACTGAGAGAGGCAGAGACAAAAAAGACAAGTGGCTGCAAACAGCATTAATTCTTCATGTGGCAGGTGAAAAAATGAGAGAAGTATTTAACACTTCTTTATTTGATGATACAGCAGCAGGGCTGGCTCTACTGTTTTTGCTGACCAAGCAGCACGCTGAATTGCCGCCAAGGACGGCGGGGGCAGTCCATGTGCTGTTAGGGCGGCACGTGCATTTCCGCGACGGCAGCAATTTGGTGGCAGCTTCAGTCTTCAGCCGGAAGACAGAAGCCTCCAAATTGCCGCCGCGGGCAGCTGAACATAGAAGCTGCCGCTGAATTGCTGCCGCCGCGGAAACGGGCGGGCCACCCTAACGGCACACGGACTGCCCCTGCCATCCGCGGCGGCAATTCGGCGCGCTGCTTCGGGCAGCAAAAACACACGGACTGCCACCCACTGCAGATTGCCGCCCCAAGCATCTGCTTGGAATGCTGGTGCCTGGAGCCGGCCCTGTACAGCAGATAAAAAGATATACAGGTCTTAAAGAGTAAGTTTGAGGCCCACTGTCCACTGCCAAGAAATATCCAATATGAGACTGGAACAGTTTTCACTTGAAGTCAGACAGATGGGGAAAATATAGACCAGCATGCTACTGATGGAAAACTGGCAGCACAATCCTCCAAATGTGGAGAACTGTGTGACTTGCTCATTAGAGACCCCATTTTGTGTGATATTGTGTCTGATTCTGTGCAAGCGAGTTTAACCCTTGAATGTGCTGTGGATGTATGACATGCAGATGAAAAGGCTGCAATCACAAGTGTCTTGAGGCCATTTTCAGAAAACCTTTTCATAGTGTAAGCAGAGTCAGGATAAGCTCTACCCTGACATCTGGTGGTGAATTATGGTGAGGGTGGAAAAGAACTTCAGGGGCTGATCTTGTTTGCATAGGCACACCCACCCGCCTAGCCTGGGACAACAACAACTGAAAGTGGTTACTTTGGCTGGTGTGGGATCCCCAGTTTCTCTGTTATTGGGGAAGGAAGAATAAAGTGTTGTTACCCTGATTCTCTGAATCAAGGCCAGTGGAACTGTTGTATGACAGAGGGACTCACCAGTAACTAAGTAGCACTCGCTAGACAAGGGGCATGGGTTACAAAACCCAGTGAATTGAGAGAGGGTGGGGACATGTATGTGATAGTATGGGTACCTTTTGAGGGCCTGGACCACCAATTCCTTTGCCCTTCCTGCTGTTGAGTAGCAGAGCTAAATTTGCTTCCATTTGGAATCTAGCTAGAAGTTACTGAACTGAATTCACTTTGGGCTAATGGCGCACCAGCACTGGGGCTCCCCTACTATGAGCTGAAATCACTAAAAGAAATAAAATTGCTGAGCTGAGCTCACTGAGTGCTGTGTTAAGCAGTGGGGGAACCTGAAAATATATTGCTAAGCAGCTGGCAGAGCCGAGCAGTTTGTGGGATGGTTTGAGCAGCCCATGGAACAGCGAGTGGCACTGAGCCATTTGCGGGGGCAGCTGGAGCGGTTCGTGGGATGACTGGTGGATTGGAGCAGCTGGCAGAGCTGAGCAGTTTGTGAGACGGTTGGAGTGGCCCACGGAACGGGGAGCAGAGCGGAGCAGTTTGCGGGGATGGCTGGAGGAGCGGCGTGGCGCGGCTGGTAGAGCGGAGCCATTCGTGGTAAAGGCTGCAGCAGAACTCCACGAAGAGGTGGGGCAGTTGGCCTCTGACCACGTAAGGTGCCCCTTAACATCCCGTGTGCGCCCCCCCCCCCATTTCCGCCCAGGCTTGAGGGGTAAAACTCTGCAGATAAACTTTTGAACTCTGGGGCGGCACTGACCAGGGACAGAGACTTTGGGGTTGTTGGACTTTGGGGTGATTGGACTTAAGAACCTGAGGGGAAAAGGACACTGCCAAACTTACTTGGAGGTGGGTCTTTTGCTCATGGTTTGTGTTATGAATCCTGTTTGTGGTGTTTCCCCAACATAATGCCACATTGTTTCCCTCCTTTATTAAAAGGCTTTTGCTACACTCAGACTCCGTGCTTGCGAGAGGGGAAGTATTGCCTCCTAGAGGCGCCCGGGGGGTGGTATGTAATTGTCCCAGGTCATTGGGTGGGGGCTCGAGCCAGTTTTGCATTGCGTTATTGAAACGGAACCCCTAGATACTGAACCCGGCCCTTGTTGCTGCCAACTCAGAGGGGCAGAAGGGTTACAATAGTACTCCATCAAGGATTCAAAGGTGGTTGCTAATACTCCAGAAATATCAACTGGAAGTTGGATACAGACCACGGAAAGAATTACTGTAGTAATTGTTGACACTTTATCCAGAGTCTACATGTTGCACGATGAAGGAGTAAGTTCAGAGGAAGCTGGTGTTGCACTACATCAGATTAGCTTTCATTTGCCTATTGCCAAACAGAAATTGAAGGAATTCCAAGCAGATACTGCAAATGATGTTGTTCTGCAAACTATTTGGCAAAGAGGGCCAGACAATAGATCTGTAGTACCAGAGGTTATTCGAGCTTATTGATCATATAGAGAGGAACTAAGTGTGCAAAATGGACTTGTCTTTAAAAGTGACAGAATCATAGTACCGAAAAGTCTCAGAAAAGAGATCTTGGCTATTATTCGTGAGAGTCAACTGGGAGCAGAGCTATGTAAAAGGAGAGTTCAAGATGCTGTCTATTTGCCAGGCAGGTGTAGTCAAATAGAGGACACAGTACATGCTTGCAATGCATGTCAAACCTTCAGAAACATAAAATCGGAAGGAACCATGCTACCGCAAGAGGTCCCAAACAGACCTTGGCAGAAACTTGATATGGACCTTGTGAGGCTGGCAGACTAGGTGCCAGCTCATGCCAAGATCCGTAGGCCTCAAATAAACATTGACCAATGCATAGCTGGAAACCAGTCTGGCTCACCTGCGTGCTAGTGACATTAAAATAGATGTTAAGTCTGTAGTGTTTAGACTTTATGAAATTCTTGTAGGATGCTGCATGTGTTAATCTCACTGATAACATCTGTACTGCATGTGATACAGTAATAGTAAGTGTTTGCATTGTAAACCCCTGTAACTGTGTAACTCACTGAACAGGAAAGAAGCATTAACTAATGTCAAATGGTACAGACAGTGTTACATCCTGCCCACCAGAAGGCCCATTGAAACCAAATGAGTCAGTGAAACATCAAAGAACAAAGACTTCGTTAATTCCACACCCACACACCCCCACCAAAAAAAAAGTCCCTATGAAGAGGAGACATGCCCATGAACTCATCCCATCAGCTTGAACTCTGGGAGGAAGGGAATAAAAATCCCTAACAAGAAGAAAATGGATCTCTTTGCTCCTTGGACTTTGGGAGGGCAAGATTTCTAAGCATGAGCAAGGAATCCCCAGCTGCTTTGCCTGGGTTAGCCCTAAAGGACATATAGAGATTGCATATTACAGCAGCTGCCTGCCATCACCTTCAGAAACCTAGGACTGTAACTCGTTTGTGTGTATGTGATTACCTGCTTTAACCTTGTAAATAACTCTAATTTCTTTCTCTTAGTTAATAAATCTTTAGAGAGTTTATTATAGGATTGGCTCCAAGTGTTGTCTTTGGTGTGAGATCCAAAGTGCTATTGACCTGGGGTAAGTGACCAGTCCTTTGAGATTAGGAGTAACCTGAATATTGTTGTGATTTTTGGTGCAATGGACCATCTATCACAAAGGAAGGCTTCCCTAGGAGCCAAGGGGTTGCTCATGCTCTTGAGCCACTTCAGGACAGCTTGATGGATCTGTTTGCGTTTCAAGGTGCAGATTATTTTATTCTGGCAGATTAGTTAAAATACTCAGAAGTCTGCTTGCTTCAGGACCACCAGTGCATCTGTCATTGATGCTGCATGTCTATATTTACAAGGTATGAAAAACTCATTAGTGACAATGAATCACAATTTTGCTCCAGAGGCTTCAAAACTTTTGTAAAGCAGTGGGACTTTGTTCATAAAACATCAAGTCCATTGTTCCCACAATCGAAGGAGAGAGCAGTTCAAATTTATAAAGAGTTCTTTAAAAAAAAGCTAGTGTGGATAACACAGATCCGTATCTTAGCCTGTTGGACTAATACACCTAGGGAGTAAGGGAGATTGAAGATCATCTGCTCAACTCCTTGTGGGAAGACGTCTAAGGACTAGATTGCCAACTTCATCAAAGCTGTTGCAACCCCAGGTAATACAAGGAGACATACAAACTAACCTAAAAGTGAGACAAGCAAAGCAGAAATATTTTTTGACAAAGGTGCAAAACCTTTATCACCACTGGAAAAAGGAGAAATGGTTTGTATTTGTGAAAAAAAGAGCACAGAAACCTGCTAAGGTGATTGACCAATACACTGCCTCAAGATCTTATCTTGTTAACACAGAGAAAGGAGATGTCTACAGAAGAAACAAATGATTTGATGGGCACTGAAAGAATTGGGCAGGAGGGGAATGAAAATATGGAACAAACAGAAATGGTGTCAACATCCAGCTCAGACATGCAGGCAATACCAGACCAGTCTACTGAGTCTCAAGTGGTCAGTTTGAATATAGAAGAAAAAAAATGGGAGTCTGATACTCCTGTTACTACTTCAAAAAAGGCAGAGCAATAAGAAAACCTGCTAGATACACGTATGTCTCCATTGCAATAAAAAAACTCACGGCAACAAGTCTCAGAGCCCAGGTCATCTAACCTGAAGGGCTATAAAATTGCAATATAGATGTTGGGGCTCAGGCAAGAGCCAGGGCTCTGAGACCCACCCCTCACGGGGTTTCAGGGCCCAGGCTCCAGCTCATGCCTGAATGTTTACGCTACAATTGTATAGCCCTGTAGCCCAAGCCCCATGAGCCCAAGTCAACTGATCTGGGCCAGCCCTGGGTCTTTTATTGCAGTGTAGATGTACCCACAGAGACTAACGAATTCTATTCAAGTTAATTTGAATGTTTTTTTTTAAAAGGGCAGATGTAATGTTAGTCGGAACTTTGGAGTAGGAACTGAGTGTTGTATGGGGGGAATCATTATGTAGTGAGCCTTATGAACAGAAGCACAGGCTTGTGCTTGGAGCAAGGCAGACAAGCCAGCAATACCAATCTGTACAGTTCTCAGCTACAAGTTCAGAGAAGTGCTAACTGTTACTTAAAAGTCTCCAGTGTCTTTTCTTAAATTATAGTAGCCACTTAGCAACAGCCATTACAGGGTATAAAATATGAGGAGCTAATGGGCTTGTTACTCTAACGGAGAAAGAGAAAAAGAACCAATGCCTGCAAGCTGAAGCCAGACAAACTCGAAGTAGACACAAGGCACACATTTTTAACAGTGCAGGTGATTAACCATTGGAACAACCTGCCAAGGGAAAAGGTGGATTCTCCATCTCTTGATGGCTTCAAATCCAACCTGGAGGCTGTTCTGGAAGAAGCTTCAGCCAAACACAAGTTATTGAGCTCCACACAGGTGTAACTGAATGACATTCTCTGGCCTGTCCCGTACAGGAGGTCAAACCAGATGATCTAACAATCCCTTCTGGCCTTTAAATCTCGGAATTGATGAAAATGAGATGGGGTCAACCCAGCCAGAAACCTGAGAGTAATTGGAGATCTTATACCATCTCCGTCAACCCATTTCCTGACAGCATCACTCCCATGTCCTGCTAAAGGAGTTCCATGTCCTGACCCCATTAAGAGCCTGTCTCCCTCACCTCTTCTCTCCCACGCTTCCACCCTCTCTATCCTTCTGTATTTTCCCCTTTGAAGTCATCCATTCTCTCTCTTTCAGTCTCTCTGTCCCCAGCCTGTGCAGCCCTCCCTAGAGAAGCACCCCTGGGAGGATCAGCCTGGTCCCTGTGGGGGAAGCCCCAAGGGAGGGGGAACAGGCCTAGTCTCTAGCTAGGAGGCAAGTTGGAAGCAGAGGATAAGGACACAGATAAGGACACAGATTTTGGTTTCCCAGGGTGGGAGACTTCTCTGGCCAGGGGGAATGAGGGGCAGGGGTCCTGTCCTGCCCCAGAGGGTCCTTCACCCCGCTCAGGCCAGCCACCTCTCCCTCAAGTAATCCAGCCCCAAACCCCTCATCCCATCCACTGTCCTCATCATTGTCCCCTCACCCACTCAGCCCTGCCTGGGACCTGCAACTCCCACCCAGTGCTCACCTGTGTTGCTCTATCTCAGCACAGGGGTGGGCTCTCAGCATGAGTGCTGTTCACCAGCTCTGCGCCTGTTTCTCCTGCCACTCGCCTGCCAGACCGATCCGATCCTCCTTGTTACATCACAACCAGGACACCCCTTCCAGGAAATGTCCCAACCTCCCACAGGGCTGCCGGACGCTTACCGCAAACAAGGGACTTTCAACATCAGGCTTGGTCTGCTTCCCCACCCCCATCCTCGCTCAGCGATCTGTAGATACTTAGAGCATCTGTCCCCCCAGGAGTCATGAGAGTGACCCATCCACAGGCCCCATCTGGCCCATTCCTCCTTCAGGAGACTTCCTCCAGCCTTAGACCCAATACAGGGGCAGCTTTCCCGGTCCTGGAATGGAGAGTTAGGTGAAATGTTTGGCTTGAACCTTTTTCTGGTGAAAAATGCAGATTCAGATAGACTGAAACATTTTGTGAATTTGTGTTGAATTCTCCAAATCAGAGAGGAAAAAAACCCTAAAACTTTCTGAACAAAAATTGAAAAGTTTCAAGTCAACATTTTCAAAACCATACTTTTTGATTCAACACACCTTTTCTGATAACTTAACTGATCTCCTTTTTAAAAAATTAGAAAACCCTTAAAAAATAATAGCTCAAAGATGAAACAATATTGGTTATATGAAACCTTCCATTCAACTCTAAATGATATTTTTCCTGACTTTGTGGTTTGCCAAAAATGTTGAAATTATTTTTGTTGTGGTTCAATCCAAAATGAATCCCCCCCAGGGCTCTATTGGAAAGCCCTTTCCAGCCACAGGTTTTGTAGGGATGTAACCCCCACTCCCCAAAAGCACATGTGCCTGCTACATGCTCCCACTGATGGGTTAGGCTTTAATCTCACTCCTGCCGTGTGAGGCCCACTGGCTGAACTGAGCTACACAGAGCCTATTGGGTTCTGCATCATCACTAGGATCGGTACGTGGCCATCACATGGCTAGAGTGGGCCATCCCCAGGTTCCATAACACACAGCATTTGGCTTTCACTGGTAACTCTCTTCTTGTGATAGGGTTCATTGAGAACCTCTGAAACCTTGCAACTCTGAGGGTTCAGTCAGTCTGGTCCCTGGCTCACGGCTTATTCCTGTTCTCAGTTCATTTCATAATAGATGTAAACATTTCTCCCTAGTGCTGCAAAATGCTCCTTTCCTTCCCTCCCCTCTTGCTTGTCTTGGCTACAAGAAGTGTAGCTCATACCTGCTACGCTCCCTTTGTGGGCTAATTGTGTGATTCTAACCAACCCCTCCCTATCAACACCTCCTGGGGTGATATATTCTTTCATCAATGCCATTTATTGCCCCCCACCCCCTCCGTCCCGTGATGCCCCACAGCTGTGCCACTCAAGTTTATTGTGTGTGCTGGTTGTGTTGATTTGTTTGCGGGTTGTGTTGTGCTAGAAAATTTGTGCTGATTTGTGCGGGTGATGAACAATGGGGGTGTGCTACAGTGAGAGGCTATACGTGTTTCGGGTTATTGCGTATGCTAGTTATGTTGTTGTATGGATGTTTTTGAAGAACTGTGCAGCTGGGCCAAGTAAGCCACCATCTGTGCAACCAATGAAATTGTTGTATGCAAATTATCTGTAGAATAAGAGTGGTGATTGGTTGAGTTACCTCTGATATCACAGTGGTCTAGGACTCTTGGTATGGCATAGATACAGCTGTTTGTTATGTATATATTATTCTATTATCCCCTTGAATAAATCTATTTAATCTATTTTAGGGGTTTATTCTACCACCCATCATTGTGGCATCTGAGTACTGTCCACATGAAATAAATAATAAAACCCCTAGCAGATTTCCTGGCGTTACTGGCACTTTTCTATTTTTAGGGTCAAAAACTCTGCTTGGGACAGGGTTTTACTGTTTAGTGGGAGAGGGGCTGGAAAGAGAAGGGAGCATTTGTGTTGAGACCATCACTCATGGTGGAACGGCTTCCCCAAAGAGGAATGTTTTGCAACATTTCCCAAAGAGTCAGACTCTGGCTTAGCTTGATCTCTTCTGGCTGATAGTTCCGTAGCCAGATCCCCTCGACTGACAACACTTTGTGCCTAGCTGTCACAGGCCGCTCCCTGGGCTATGAGATCTGCATTGTACCACTACCACACTCCCTTTTTTTTGCCAGTTCTAGCCCCCCTGCAAAAAACCATCACATTTTCTAGCCATGATGTTATTCAGTGCTACTAATTCCCCAGGAGGATTCCATTATCCTCTACAATAGAGCTATCTTAAAGTTTTATGCTACCACTCATCACCCTGGTATCTGGTTACTTTCCATGTAAAATCAATTGCAATAGAGAAACAGAGTTTGGCACCTCTCCCTTGAGAGGGTCCAAACTCTGCTTTGGGTAGGGGAGTTTTGATTGTTGGACAAGCATCATTCTTATGGCGGTGTAGAAGACTTGACTCACAGCAGGTGCACCCCCTCATGGGTGGAAATGGTGTAGCAGCTCTTTTGTTTCTAGCACCCCATGTCCATGGTTGCTCCAGTTCCACTGTGGTCCATATCTTCTCAAAACTCAATCAGGCCACATTTTAGTTCCACCGCTTTTTGGGTAACAGAAAGTTTAACAAATAATATTCCCACTCCTTGTGTTTGCTGTGGGCCCCATGGTCCTTATGTCAGAGCTCTCAAAAGTCCTTACCCTCTAATGTCAGGGGATATCACACAATCTTTATCCTATAACCCCCACGCCCACCCGCCCAAGGTCTGCTCCATCAGCCTCCTTGCTGCTACCTGCCTGGAGTTCTTCCTACAGCAGCCTCTTTTCCAGGCCTTCTCCTAGACTCCTAGACTCATAGACTTTAAGGTCAGAAGGAACCATTATGATCATCTGGTCTGACCCCCTGCATGCTGCAGGCCACAAAACCGTCCCTACCCTTTCCTTGACTCTGCTGATGAAGTCCCCAAATCCTGTGTCTTAGTGACTTCAATTGGCAGAGAACCCTCCTGCTAGAGATCCCTGCCACATGCTGCGGAGGAAGGCAAAAAACCTCCAGGGCCTCAGCCAATCTACCCTGGAGGAAAATTCCTTCCCGACCCCAAATATGGCGATCAGTAAGACCCCGAGCATGTAGGCAAGAGTCTCCAGCCTATGTAGGCAAGAGTCTCCTCCCCCTCTTGAAGTTCACCCTTCTCTCAGGACCCTCCCCCACCAAAATCCCAAACTGAAATACAAATGTAAACCTGCTTCTGCGCTCCCTAGACTTGACCTCATGTCCCTTCCTCTGTTGAAACACCCCAAGGTTCTCTCCCTGGAAGTTCAAAGTCTGCCCTATTATCAGGGCTCACGACCACAGTCTGCTTCTGCTAGCCTCCTACCAGACTTCTCTAACTCAGAAAAGGATCCCAGTGCTGTCTCACTCTCCCCCTGGGCTTCCCCCTTGACCCTCCTTATCTCCCTAGTTATCCATCCCCAGAGAGGGATTCTTTCTCTGTACCATTCTTTCCCTCTGCCCCAGCAGCCTCCACCTAATCCGTGCTTCCTTTCTTTATAGTCACCTAGGGGTGACCAGACAGCAAGTGTGAAAAATTGGGACGGGGTGGGGGTAATAGGAGCCTATATGAGAAAAAAATCCAAAAATCGGGACTGTCCCTATAAAATCAGGACAACTGGTCACACTATAGTCACCACTTTGCAGCTTCTTCTCCAGCTGGGCATCATCTTTAATTAGGCCTGCAGGGGCAGCCAGATGAGTTAATTGGCCTCATGCCAGTTAACCCTTTCAAAGCCAGGATGGGTAAATAAATGATCCCTTCCCAGCTGGAAAAGCTTTTCTGAGGAGGAAGGTTTTGCAGTGATCCCCTGTGGGAGTTGGTTCTGTAGCCAGACCTCCCCTTCCCCAAACAGAGCATGCTTTATATCCAGCTCTCCTTGTCTTGGTGCGAGCCTGCCTCCCCATAGCACAGAACTGTATGGAGGAGCTACACCAGATAGGCTCCCAGCCCCTGCGAGAGGGGAAGATCAAGGGAGAGGCAGGCATGTGGCCAGAGTGCACCACCTGATGGATATTCTCAGCTGCCTCGGACCATGGAAGCAAAGCATAAGTTCAGGAACCTCAGAGCTGCCCTAACGTACACTGGGTACTAAGCAGGGCCCTATATAGCCTCAGAATGATCCAGGGAAAGCAATGATAACTGATGTTGTCATCCTTTGACCATAAGGGGCAGGGTAAAATCTAGGCCAACATTGCTCATGCCCATTTCTTTTGCAAAGAGCCTAAGAGATGGATCCTGATTGTCATAGTGTCCACAATAACTGTGGTGGCTGCATGCCAGTTGCAGAATACTGCTGTCTGTCCGTGTCATTTCCTGTCTTGCTGACTGCAGCTTCATGCACGTGAAGAAAGATGAGAGATTCTGAATTCTCTTCTCATTAAAGAAGTATATCAGGGTAGCAGCCACATACCTTACTCAGAGTCAGCTCTGTAGTGCTAGGTGGCAGAGAGGTACAGATAAAGAGACAATGCATGCCTGGGGAGCTTGCAGTCTAAAACTCTGGGCACTTCCTGACTGAATGCAAAACTCAGCATCTGTAATATGCCATTGGTACCAATGCATAATTTTACCATGACAAGATAGTATCAGTCACAGCCCAGTCTCAGTTTCAAAAAAAGCATTTAATACTGTGCTCATGCAACAAAAAAATAAGGTCAGCTTCCAGGCATTAATAGTTGGTTAGTTTGCTTTGATCTAGTCCTCTTAGAAACAGGACTAAATCAAAGTGAACTAACAACCTGCTAATGCACAGCCACAGGGTCCATATCAATGGCAAAATTTATGGGTTCTGTGACAGGGGTAACCACAATGACAGGATTCTATCCTTCACCATTGGCTTTCCATATGAAAGGTATATTATTATTTTCAAGGGGGTTTTGACAGAAAACAGTTTCTACAAAATCTAAATTATCTGTGGAAAATTTTTGATTTCTGCTGAATTTTTTCAGTTCTATCAGAAAAATCAAAATGAAACATTTAATTTTGGACCATTTCAACCCTAATCAACACATTTCAGGTCGTTGAACTGAAGCAAAGTTTTGTTTTGTGATAGTTTGACATTAAATTAGGTCTGCCTATGGCACTACAGTGCCTCATTCTCCAATTCTCCTCCATGGGCCAGGTACCTTGGACAGACTACATCTCCCATGATGCAACTCAGCCTCCACTCTAACCAAGCTACATGATGCATCATGGGAAGTGTAGTCCAGCAAGGGACCAAAGCTCCTAAAGAAGAATTAGGGCATCCGGCATCCAAACTATAACTCCCATGAGGCACTACAGCATCTAAGGCAGATGCTGTAAACACTGAAGTATCTCAAAACAGTTCAATAGCAAATGGCAAAAGGAAGTGTTTAGACATTTCTGAATTAAAATTTTTCAGAACTTCATGTTCAGTGAAGAATTAATATTTTGTCCTGATTTAGATGGAAACAAGCATCAAACTGTCAGAACGTCCTACAAGATGGAAATTCCAATGTTTGCTCAGCTCTAGTGTATAGAACCATTCTGAAGTCAGGACTGTGGCATCCATCGGGATGGGAGACACTGCATCCATGAAAGATCTTTTTCCTGATACACCAGAAATAGAAGGAATTCTGGGATTTAATGAAATGTTTAATTTGTTTTAAAAAATGAAAGCAAGAGACAATTTAGATCAGCAATAACCCAGGTCAAGTTGATGCCTGTGTCTGTCTCTGAAGACACACTCACCAAGTACTACCACTCCTATTATACCTGTATATACCCACTTTTGATGGTGCTGCCCTATACGAACAGGTCCCATATGGGGGAAAATGCACTATCATGTGATGTGGTGACAAAACAGGTCAAATTCAGTCCGGGTGTAAATGGGTTCAGACTCCCTTTGAAGTCAGTGTAGGGGCATCTCCCTAGGCTAGGGCTGCAAATGGCCCAGTGGCTTTGTTCTGGTGGATAACCCCATCCTTTCTCATTCCTTTGATGTTGAGTGGCTCAGGGGGCCCAGGGGCATGGAAGTGTTCTGATCCGTTTGGTCAGTGGCCTGTATTTTTCCCTAGTTGGGTACAGTTTTTAATTATACCCAGGTGGGGAAATAGAGGCCATTTATTGACCAGGGGAGAATCCAGGCCATTTGCCAGCTGGGTGGAGAAGCCAGTGGGAATAGTCACTGGGGCCAGGGTTGGTGGGGAATCTGCCAATCTCTAGTAGGGAGAAGGTCTGCCTGGCTGTGCCCCTTGGCACAGAATCCTGCACTGCTTGGGTACTTGGCCCCACCCCTTGCCATGGGTTATTGCTCAGAAGTGAAGCAGCACTTGCTCGGGGCAGGGGGAACCACTGGCATCTCCATTGGGGGAGCTGTCTGGTGATGTCACTCAGGCTGGTGGCACGAAGGGGGCCCCCTCTCACTCAGGATCTGCTTTTTCCTCATGAGAGCTAAGGGCAACAATGGGCTGGAAAAGAAATGAAACACAGCGTGCTGAGTAATCCACACATACAGCAGTGATGAAACCCAACCCCCAGGCTGCCATCCTGCTTCCTCCCAGCACCCACCTATCAAGTGATCTCTCTCCTGCCATCCATCTCCATCCTCTGACAAACAGAGGCTATCCTGATTGCCCTGCTATAAAAAGGCACTGTACCTAGGAACTTCACCCCAGGCATCCCTCCATTTTTGCCCACTGTCTGTGTAATGATATAATTTATGTGTAGCATATTACTCAGCCACTAAGTGTCTGTTCTGTATAAAGTTCCAAGCAAAGTGTAGCCTGCAGTCAACAAGAGAGACAAAGCTGGAACTGGAGCTGTGTGTGTCTTCAGTTATAGCTATTTTGTTAAAATAAAGATCCCCATTTTCCTATTCTATCTCTCTTTCCCTTCTCCCCTATTCAGCTGCTGTTTAATTACCACATCATCTTCAGAGTTCTGGTAACAGACAACTTTGCATCCAAATGCTGCCAGAGAAACAGTGAGGCACAACCCCAGAGTTGCTGTGAACAGTGCAATGCCCCGCATGCCTGTGCAGTAGACCTAGAGAACAGACCAGGGACAGAGAGTTACAGAAAATTCCCTGGAAACCAGCATAGAAACTATAGCTACACAACTACATCCATCCCCACAGTCAGTCTGTGGGGGATGGTCCCTTATACTACTGCAATATCTTCTTAAGAGCTTCATCCAGCCCCCTTGTAAGTGATGCCGGGGACTATAGGAAATGTACACCATAGGAATTCTACACTGTGTGAATATTTAATAGTCATCATTCATTTATTAGTTATGCAGCACCTAATATGTGCTGGACACTTTACCAGACTATGATTATGATTTAATTTTACAGTAGGACCTATAAGCTTGGGATCCCATTGTGCTAAGAGTAGATTGTAAGAGATGATCTGTGTCCCAAAGATCTTACAATCTAAATAGTCAAGACAGGCAAAAAAAGCTGGGAGACCGGAAGGACTGTTATCCCCGTTTTATAGATGGGGAACTGAGGCACAAAGAGATGAAGTGACTTGTCCAAGGTCATACAGAACATTTGTGGCAGACTGAGAAACTCAACCCAGAACTCCTGGCTTCCAGATCAATGCCTTAACCACAAGGTTTCTTCAATCCAGCTCCCCTGAGGCTCAGGTTGCACTAACTTAGACATGCAGCTTCAGAGGCACATTGCATAAAGTCAGTAGAATTCTTTGAAAACACCGAATGATCAGACAAATAAAAGTCAACGATTTCTAGTAACCTCCAATCCAAAAGCCAACCATCCTATTCATGTCAGGGCATTGAGGGACTATCCCACAGATTTTCCAACACAAACTGGGGTGGGAGGAAAAGGAGAATTGAGCAGGATTTTGAAAACAACCCCCCCACAAGTCTCCGCAGCTATCCAGTGGCTTTAGTGGTGGGGGCTGCCTATCTTGGGACACTGGACTGTTGGGATGGCTTCCCTTGGACTGAAATCTCCACTACTTGGAGTCCTTAAATTGAGACTGGATCTCTTTCTAAGATAGATGCTGCAATTCAACCCACAAGGTATTAGGTTCAGCTGGGCAGGAATTATTGGGTAAAGTCCAATTATTGGGAGAGGAAGAGTGGTCCAACCATCCCTGGCTCTGCTATCCATGTCCTGTGTGATCTATAGCAAGTCACTTAGGCCCAGATCCTCATGAGTATTTAGGCGTGATGAGAGTTAGCCTTTCCCATCTCTAAGATGGAGATAATAGCACAGCCCTGCCTCCCAGGATCCATACATTAAAGCATGTAAGGTATTCAGATACTACAGTAATGGGGTGAGAGAAGAACCTAAGACATGACATTCTCTGGCCTATGCTATGCGGGAGGTCAGACTAGATGATCACAATAGTCCACTCTGGCCTTCAGATCTATATCAACTGAGGGGGTGGAGTGGAAGTCCAGGCATAAAAGATGGAGGCTGAATCCCCCAGGATCATATACCTCCCCCAGAAAACAGTCAATGGCCTCCCAAAACAAGGCAGGGATGGACACGGGATTGCAGAGGACCCACCATGATCTGATCATGCACACGGCAATTCTGGAGCTGGTCCTGGAGATCACAGGCAAAACTGAGATAGGAGAGCAGGTCCCTCAGGTAGAGGAAGTTGATCACCATGACAACAGCTGCAGCAATGATCTGGATCACCAGACAGGCCTTCACCTGGAAGACAGCAGAACTATGAGCAATGCTGCTGTCAAGGCTGATTCCCCACTCTGGCGCTTCAAGTGCAGAAGGTGGGGGCCCTCAAGGATTCTAAAAATTAATACTGGCCACTCCAGGCTGGTATTAAACCTCCAACGTTACAGCTTCTCTCTGACCTTGGATAGGTAGATGCTGCCACCACCCAAGTGCAAAACCCCTGGGAACCCAGGAAGGAGCACTTGGGAATTCCTTCCTGTGGGGTACCCTCAAGCCTTTTCACCTCCCCTCCAGGGAAGAGCTGAGAAAGGAAAACAAAGAAATCAGCTGTTGCCACCAGCTAACTAAAAACATGCACAAAAATCCAAATCCTGTTCTTAAAAATGGTAAATTTCATTAAAAACAAAAAGAAATAAAATACATCTGAAAACTCAGACTATTGCTAGATTTTTAAAAAGAGCAATTTCAAAAATTAAGCACCCCAAATAGTTTTTGGGGGGGTCAGCTTAAAGGTTACAAGCAACAAAAGCATCTGGGGTTAGCACAGAGGAATCCACAAGCCATAAGAAATAAACAAAATAAACCTAATCATGTCTTTCTAGACATTTTCTGATCCTCTTACATATCTGGGTTCCAAATAAGCAATTCTAAGTATGATTTTCATACCTGGCCTTCAGCTTCTCACAGCATAACTGCTGCCCTGTTTCCCTCTTCTCCGGAGAACCACAAAAGACACAAAGAAAGTCCACCCCCAATTTTAAAAAATTCTAGCCATCCCATTGGCTCTTTTGGTCAGGTGCCCACTCACTTCCCTTTACCTATGCATGCAGTCAGACTTTTTAACCCTTTACAGGTAAAGTAAGTAGAGAACAGCTACCAAGAGGGATTCTATAGCTAACTGGCTGGCTGGGTGTCCACAAAAGGAAGGTACCCCCCCTCTCATTTATCACACACCCCCCAAATCATAGACAGTGCTGGCCAGCCTGGTTCACGTTGGGTCCACACCGGCTGGGATTTCTTCCTGGAGGTTTAGGAAACCAAGTTAATAAGATACATGCATCTTTAATTTTGCTAATTACATGAAGAACTAAACAGTATTTTTCACATTTCAAGGACTACAATGATGTAGAATACAGGGACATTTTTACCCCGCTGATTCTGGGAAACCTTCCCAGGAGAGTGCATCAGCCACTTTGTTAGGGCTCATGAAATGTGTTGTATTTTAAAATCAAAGTCCTGAAGAGCTAAACTCCACTGAAGAAGTTTGTTGTTATTCTTTTTGACTGTGTGAAGCCACTTCAGTGCAGCATGGTCAGTCTGCAGATAGAACTGCTGTCCCCAAATGTATGGGCGTTGCTTCTCCAGAGCATACACAATGGCGTAACATCCTTTTTGGAGACTGAACAGTGGCTTTCCCTTTTAGAAAGTTTTTTGCTGAGAAACACGACACTCAGACGCATCTGTGGTTACGACGAAAAGTTAGTCAAAGTTCGGGGCCCCCAGTACAGGGTCAGATGTAAGGGCTGCCTTAAGCTGGTTAAAGGCTCTCTGACACTTCTCAGTCCACTGAACTACATTTGGTTGTTTTTTCCTGGTTACGTCGGTCAGTGGGGTGGCAATTTGGCTGTAGTGTGGTGTACATCATCTGTAATACCCAGCCAAGCCCAAGAAGGATTGGACCTGCTTCTTTGACTTAGGAACTGGCCAATTTTGGATAGCATTTACTTTAGCCTGTAGGGGATTGATAGTTTCTTGACCCACCCGTTGTCCAAGGTACATTATCCTGTTTAGGCCTATTTGACACTTCTTGGCCTTAACGGTTAATCCTGCCTCCCTTATGCGCTGGAAGACAGCTTGGAGGTATTCCAGGTGTTCTGGATGAATCTGAGAATATGGCCACATCATAAAGGTAGGCGATTGCAAATTCCCCAAATCCAGCCAGAAGGTTATCTACCAATCTCTGGAAGGTTGCGGGTGCATTTCGCAGTCCGAAAGGGAGCACATTAAATTCATACAGTCCTACATGGGTGATGAAGGCTGACCTTTCCTTGACTGGGTCATCTAGTGGCACTTGCCAGTACCCCTTAGTTAAATCTAAGGTGGAGACAAATTCGGCATGTCCCAGTTCCTCCAATAGCTCATCTGTGCATGGCATGGGATAGTTTTCTGGGTGAGTTACATCATTTAGCTTACGGTAGTCCAAGCAAAAGCAGATTTCCTCACCTGGTTTGGGCCTAAGAACCACTGGAGAGGCCCATGCACTCTCAGAGGGGCGGATTACACCCATCTGTAACATGTCCTTGATCTCCCTTTCTATCGCAGTTTTGGCTTGAGGAGCCATCGGGTAGAGTTGGGCTTCAATTGTGTGAGCATCACCTGTGTCAATGGAGTGGTACGCCCATTCTGTCCATCCTGGGGTGGCTGAAAACATTGGCGCAAAGCTGGTGTGCAGCTCCTGGATTTGCTATCGCTGCTTATGTCCAAGGGTGATGGAAAGGCCTCTTCTACGCCACCATTGCTTTTTCCTTTATAGTAGACTCCTTCAGGCCACTCAGCGTCAACTCTCTCCTCCGTTGTAAACTGGAGAACCTTGATTTCTCGGGAATACGAGGGCTTTAGAGAATGAACATGGTATACTTTAGGTTTTAGGATAGGGCCTGGGAACGCTATGAGGTAATTAACAGCTCTCAGGTGCTTTTGGACCATAAATGGCCTCTCACACGATGCTTCCATCTTATTGGCCTGGAGCGCTTTTAGGACCATGACTTGGTCACCTACTCTGAAGGAACGCTCTCTGGCATGTTTGTCATACCAGGCCTTTTGCTCTTGTTGAGCATCCTGTAGCTTTTCTTGAACAAGGGCTAGAGAGTCCTTGAGGGTGTTTTTCAGGTTGGTTACAAAGTTCAAAATGTTAGTTCCTGGAGCAGATGTATCCCCTTCCCATTGCTGCTTCACCAACTGTAATGGACCTTAACTTTGTGGCCATAAACAAGTTGAAAAAGGGTAAAACCCCCAAACTGGGATGTGGTACAGCCCTGTAGGCAAAGAGCAACTGCTGCAACACTAGGTCCCAATTATTGGAGTGCTCATTCATGAATTTACATATCATGGCCCCCAAAGTCCCATTAAACTTCTCCACTAGGCCATTTGTTTGATGGTGGTAAGGGTGGCCACCAAGTGGTTCACCCCATGACCTTCCCAAAGACCTTTCATGGTCCCTGCCAGAAAATTAGTTCCCGAATCCGTAAGGATGTCTGAGGGCCAACCTACCCTGGAAAAAATGTCTGCCAATGCTTGGCTCATGCTTTTAGTACTGGTGTTGCTTAGAGCTACTGCTTCCAGCCATCGGGTGGCAAAATCCATGTAAGTCAGTATGTACTGCTTTCCTCTGGGTGTCTTCTTAGGGAAAGGACCCAGAATATCCACAGCTACATGCTGAAAGGGAACCTCAATTATGGGGGGAGTGGCTGGAGAGGGGCCTTGACCTGGTCTTGGGGCTTTCCCACCCTCTGAAACATCTCACAAGACCGCACATAGGTAGAAATGTCTTTGCCCATTCCCTCCCAGTGAAATGACTTCCCCAGATGGTTTTTGGTCCTCTTCACCCCAGCATGGCCACTAGGGCAATCATGGGCTAAGCTCAAGAGCTTTTTCCTATACTTAGTTGGAACTACCAACTGTCTCTGAGGATGCCAGTCCTCCTTGTGCCCACCAGAAAGGGTTTTCTTGTATAAGAGTCCTTCTTCTATAACAAACCTGGACCTATTGGAAGATCTGAGAGGCAGTGGGTCACTCCGTGCTGCCATCCAAGCTCCCTTGAGTCTCTCATCTGCTTCCTGCTCTGCCTGGAACTGCTCCCTTGATGCTGGAGACATTAGTTTCTTGCTGGGTTGTGGACTTGGGCTTGGTCCCACTGGAAGTGATGCAGGTGATGAGGGTGTCTCCGTTGAGTGTGAACCACTCTCCACTGGTGCACTGGGTTGTATTTCAGGCTCCGGTTGAGCTTCTTGCACCGGTGTAGCTGCTGCTACAGGTGCAGGCTTTCTGGCACCCTTTGGTGCTGGCTTCCCTGACTCTGGTGGGGTTGCAAGCATGGGCTCTGGTGCTGACTGTTCCGCCAGTTCTGATCCTTGGGCTGGTTCTGGCTGGGTCCCAGGAACTGGATCTACAACTGCTGTCAGGCTCTGGACTGGTTTCACCACCTCTGGCTGGGTCCCTGTAGGAGGCTCAGGAATGGAGTTTGGTGTGGAGGCCTGTTTAGCCTGGCTGTAGGTGACCATCCCCACCCTTTTTGTTAGCCTCACATAATTGTTGAAGTCTTCTCCCAGCAGCATGGGAATGGGATAATCGTCATAGACTGCAAAAGTCCATATTCCTGACCACCCCTTGCACTGGACAGGCAACCTGGCTGAAGGCAAGTTAAAAAGAGTTGCCCTTAAAGTGTTGCACCATCACCTGGGCTTCTGGGTCAATGAATTTGGGGTCCACCAGGGATTGGTGGATAGCTGACACCTGTGCTCCAGTGTGTCTCCATGCAGTACTCTTCCTCCCGCCCACACTCACAGTTTCTTTTCACTCTGGGGGTATTTGCAAGGCATCTGGGCCTGATGGCTCTCGGTGGGATCCCGGGGTAATGAGTTGCAGTCAACTGGTGCTCTTGGGACAGTTGGCCTTCTCATGCCCCAGCTCATTACATTTAAAGCATCGCCCAGCTGACTGGGCTGGGGTGAGGTGGGTGGTTGGAGAGTGGGGTGGTGGGACGAGAGGCCATCTGGGGTCTCCCTGGATGTGTGGAGGGCTCCTCCTTGCAAGGTGGGACTTTGGGCTGACCCCGATGGTGGGGTATCGTCTCGGGTTGCCCCTTCTGGTATCCCCACCAACTGCTACTAGCTTTCTTCTTCTCTGCCACTTCCATCCATCTGGCTCTGATCTCCCCTGCCTCGATTACAGTTTTGGGCTTCCCATCTAGGATGTACCTTTCTATTTCCTCAGGAACACCCTCTCAGAACTGCTCCATTTGTATTAGGAGACACAGATCTTCCAAAGATTTAACATTTGCTCCTGATATGCAGGCATCCCAATTTTTTACAATGTGGTAGGCATTGGGAAAATGCCACATTTGGTTTCCACCTTAGGGCTCTGAACTGCCGACGGGCATGCTCAGGTGTTAGCCCCATCCTAATTCTGGCCTTTTGTTTAAAAAGTTCGTACTCATTCATGTGTTCTTTAGGCATTTCAGCTGCCACCTCTGCTAAGGGACCACCGTGTTGTGGCCTCAGCGCCACCATATAGTGATCTGTAGAGATGTTGTACCCAAGGCAGGCCCTTTCAAAATTTTCTAAGGCCTCTGTATCATTGCCTACCTAGTATGTGGGGAATTTCTTGGAATGGGGAGCAGAACCTGGAGAAGGACTGTTAGGGTTACCTGGTGGACCCAGCTTAGCCCTTTCCAGTTCTAAGAGCTTCCGCTCTAACTCTGCCTCCAAGCACTTCATTTCCAAGCATTTCACCTGTCTTTTCTCCTCCACTTCCAACTCCAAGCGCTTTGCTTCTCATTTTTGCTCCGCTTCCAAGTGCTTCATCTATAGGACAAAATTCCTGTCTTCCACAATCTGAACCCAGTCTGCATGAAGGGCATCCCTCCATCTTGGCACCTGGATCTCGGTTGGGGGAGGGCTGACCCTTCACTCCTGGGAAGTTCCCCATCCCCCATTCCCTCCTTGCATTTCCATCATGGAGCTGGATGTCTGGGCTTGATCTGGGTCTGTCTCCTACGTGGCATGCCGCTTTGGGAAGACTAGTTTTTCTAAGGTTTCGGTGCCTGCCCTCAACCTCATGCACAGGCTGCCCTACTCTAGCCTAACTATTTCGTTGCCACAAAGCTAGAAAAAAAATAAACTGCTTGTTGGACTAGCTGGCTTTGCAGGCTGAACCCTTTGCATGCCTGTTCCCCCTCAGGCAGCAAAGAAAAAGAAAACCAACCTCCCTGGCTTTCAAGCAGCCAAAAGGAAAAATGTGTCCTTTTAAAATCCTGAGGTCTGTGCTTCTGGGTCAAAATGATCCCACCTCTGGCCCCATGTCAAGGTGGATTCCCCGCTCTGGCACTCTGAGTGCAGAAGGCGGGGGCCCACAAGGATTCTAAAAATGAATACTGGCCACTCCAAGCT